TTGAGTCTTTTGCCCCCAAATCCAGCCACTGTCCTGCCCCGCAGCACTACACTGCTTGGTGGGACCTTGTAGGGTATGTGCTCTGCCGGCATTTAGGGCTCAAGACCATGGGGTCGTTTCTGGAACATGCCAATGATTCTCAACCACACCTCCCCATCTCCACACCCTCCACATTCTAATCTCTGAGGACTACTGGGCACCACCTGCAGGGTGCAGCAGAATCTCCAATTTAACAGGTCCCAAACCAAGCCTATGAATGAACATTCCAGTCCATTTTCCACTCAGGGACAAATAGATCTTCCAAAAATGTGGGTCGGAGCACACCACTCAGTGGCTCCCAATGACCTCCAGGATCAAATAGAAAGTACTCGGTTTGTCATCCACAGTCCTTGCCACCCTGGTCCCTTCCACCTCTCCCATCTCTTTACACTCTGCTCCCTTTCTCTCCAGCAACGTTGTCCTCTTTGCTGTCCCTCATACATGGTGCTACCTCATCTCATGACAGCATTTCCCCAGGCTCTTCCCTATGCATACAATCCTCTTTCCTTGTTTCCTCACCTCCCAGGCTTCTTTTGAGACTCAGCTCACATCCTACCTTCTCCAAGAGGCCCTTCTAAATTCCCCCTCCCCAGTACCTCCCATAGGCAGCACCTTCCCTCTAGGCCCTTCAGTGATGGGCCTTGCAGACTGCCTTGTGTGTACCTAGCTGCTCAGCGACCAGCTCCATCACCTGTCCTTGGAATCATGGTTGACCACTGCACTGAGCTCTTCTAGCTTTCAGATTTGTGTCATTGTTAAATAAACTGTTCTCCTGGTTCCAGTCACTTCCCTCTGTATCAGCTCATACGAGTCTTCCCAGGTTCCTCTGAAATTGTTCCCTTCATCATTTCTCATGGCACAGTAGTGTTCTGTCACCAACGTGTACCATAAGCTATTCAGCCTTTCCCCAACTGATCGGCACCCCCCCCCCCTTAGCTTCAAGCTCTTTGCTACTGAAAAAAGAGATTTTATACATACATACATACATACATACATACGTACGTACATACATACATATATGTACATATTTGGATACATGGGTCATTTTCTTCTTTCTCTGATCTCATCAGGACCTAGGTTTAGTAGCTACATATCTGGGTCAAAGAGCATGCACAGGGCAGAGTTTGTGGGGCCTAGTTCCCAAGTGCTTTCCACAATGGCTATGCCATTTCACAGCTCTACCAACAATGCATCAGTGTCTGCTTTTCCTTTTTATTCAGCTTTGCCCATCTCACATATATGAGGTGGAACCTCAGAGGTGCTCTGATTGGCCTGTCTCTTATTAGTAGTAATTTAGAGCATCTTTTTTCATGTGGCTATTGATAATTTGTATTTTTTCCTTAGAAAAGTACATGCTTATTTATACTCTTTGACCATTTTAGTTGGAGAATGACTCTTACTCTTTCAGCCTTTTATCAGTTCCTTACATATCTTGGAAATAAGACCCTTAACAGTGAAACTTGATATTTTCCCCCAGTGAACTGTCTCCTTCCTGATTTTAGCTACATTGCTTTTGTTTGTACAAAACCTTTTAAAATTGTATATAATCCAAATTGTCCATTTTTCTTTCATGATCTTCTCCATCCCTTGTTGGCCCTTTTCCCCTAACCATACATCTGAAAGGCAATTTTTCCCCTGCTCCTCCAATTTATGTCATTCGGGGTTCATCTTGATACATGGTATGAAGTGCTGGTCTATACCCAGTTCTTGTCAGACTGTTTTCCAGTTTCCCCAGTGGTTTTTGTCAAATAGTGAGTTCCTATCCCAGTCACTTCAATCTTTGTGTTTATCGAACCCTAGGCTACATCAGCCTGTCCACTTTTTAGGCAGTACCACATGTTTTGGCAACAACTGCTTTTTGCAATCTGAGGCCTGGTACTGTGTTAACTGTCTTTACTATGTAGCGCTACATGTCATTTAGGCATTTGGAAGCACAGTCCTCAGAAAGGTCCACAGAATTCATCAGACTGTCAAAGGGGCCCAAGACCTCCGGCACTGGCCCACACCCTATGTAAGGATGGGACATGTTATACTTTTGTCTTCGAACCCCTAGGGCCTGTTTGTTATTGAGCTGTCTTTGTTCATGTCGCTAAGAAAGCCGTTCATCTGCATAGATTTTGAGTCCTTCAAGGGCAGGGCCTGTCTTTTGCCTTTCTTAGCATCCCCAGCATTTAGCTCAGTGCCTGGCACACTGTAGGTGACTAATAAATCCTTGTTGACTGAATGAGTAAAGTGAAGAAAGGCAGTGAAGTATCACACAGCAAACCAATGTTGGTGAAGTATTAGTTCATCTGTTGGGAAATGGGAAAAACCACCATAAAAGCTACCACTGGTTCTATCCTTTTTCAATCAAGATCATCTCAGAAAACGAAGAGATTTCTCTTATTAACCTCCAAATTAGAACAGACGTGAATTTTAACTTCTCAAGCACTGAACAGCTGTGCTCAAACCGCCATCTCCCTTGATGTAACTGTGATGCCACAATGAGGCTCCCCCTCCACAAGGGATCCGGGCATCAGTATTCATCTGAGTGACCCGGAAATCATTCAGGTGCTTCCACACACACTGGTTCCACATAATTGGGGATGTTTACAGGATTCACTAATTTCAGATGCCGAACCAAAGATTCTCAGAGTGAGGTTTGGAGACCCTGGAGGGCCCTGAGTCCTTTCCAGGGCAGTCCGAACTATACTGATGATGATATTGAGACACTGTAATTTCTGATTCAATAAATGTCGATGCTTAGGATCCAAATAAACAAAAGGAAGGGGGCTCCTCAACATCAGAACACGGAGGAGCCCCAGGACCAAAGCTGGAGAACCTTGGGCCTGGACAACAGGGCATGGGCCCTGCCAGCCCAGCCCTGATCTCCTAAGGTGCTGCCCGGACTTGTGAGACACTGGCAGAGAGAACGTGAGCTTTGGATGTGCAGAACAAGCGCGCAGGGATGTGAGCAGGACGAAGAAATGATCTGTGAGGGAGGAACGATGGAAATGAAACCAGAGAAAGAGCCACAAAGCCAAAACCCGGGTCTTCGTTTCTTGGAGAGGCGGTAGCCTATGGGTTTGGGATGCTCTATACACTGCCAGATGCAGTTGGTTTTGCTTAACTGTTCTTTCTCTGTAAGAGGAAATGCCAGGGGGTGCCATAGTACTCAGATCCCTAGGCCCAGAGTCAAGAAGACTCAAGTTCAAATCTGACCTCGTGACCCTGGGCAAGTCACTCCACCTCTGGTTGCCTCAGTTGCCTCATTTGTAAAATGGAGACAATAACAGCACTCACCTCCCAGGGCTGTTATGAGCATCCAATGAGACAATAATTGTAAAGCACTAACTGCTTTATAATGCATGACATATAGCAGGTACATAATAAACGCTTATTCCTTTCCCTACCTCCTGGTACAAGGGAGGACTCACTTGGGAGAGTGTTATATCAGGAAATGGCTGATGTCAGAAAGAAAAGGTATGAATAGTTGCTTTTGTCTTATTTTTCCAAAGTGAGAAATGAACTTTCTTATGGTTTCAGAAATAAGGAGCCCGCGTGCAGAATTCAGCTTTAAAGACTTTTTAGTTGGCGCGGCTGTTGAGGACAAAGGGCAAAGCCGGCGGCCTCAGGGGGACACAGACATGCCCCTGAGCTCACCAAGGACAGGACAGTAGAGCCCAGGCCAGCCCAGGAAGACTCAGAGCCGAGGCCGATGATGACGGGCAATGTGTGGTCACCCAGGAACACACCGGGCCACAGGCGTACGAATTGTTTGGTGACACAGCGGCTCATCAGGGCACAGGAGTCCAGGCTTTGCTGCTGAAATCTGGGGTCTCTGAAGAAGCAAAAAACAAATCTCAAGTTTCGAAGTCCATTTCTCACAGTATGATGTTCGGTTTGCTGGCATGAAAAGCAAGTATTCCATTAATGTTTTTGTTTCTGGTCCAGACCCACGACTTTATTGGCATGAGGGATCTTCCAGTGTGGAAACTCCCTGCACCGATGGAGGTCAGTGCCCAGGGTCCCCAAGGCAGGGCTTGAACTGAGCCCTAGCTGGCGCCAGGGTCGGTCCACTCCGTTCTGTGCCAGTGTCTCTCTGGCATTGAAGGAGGCCAGCACATGCACACGCAGTCACTCCACGCAGTGGGGCTAAATTCTCACACATGTGGGTACCGAGGCACACCGGGCAGACTCTGAAGTGGATCCTGAACCTGGTTCTTGGCTGACGTTCCCTAGGAAACACCCTCTACTCATTCTTCTGGTTCCTGGAGCTCTACCTTGTGGAGGGCTCTGGCAGAGCCCAGCCCCTCGCGGTCAGGTGGGGGAGGGTAATCTCCATCTTTCATTTGCAGTTTTTGTCTCTTGGGATATCCCAGAGGTCTGTCTGTCCACCTGTTTCTCCTTCCCTCTCTTCCTGTCTTCTCACATGCCAAGGGATTAGAGAAGGGAAAATGTCTTTATATTTTTTTAAAAAAAGAAGTGATGAGTAAAGATTATAGTCTATTGGGCTTGACTGGACTCCTAGCAGAACTACCTAATGCGTTATTAAGAGGGTAGTTTGTAAGCAAATGGCAAAGGAAGGTGGAAAACACAGAGAATGTTAGCATGCCGGGTTCTGGGCATCTCACTTCCCTTTTGGAAAGACTTCCAGGCAATGCTGGGGATGCAGTTCACGTGGCTCACATGAAGCCTTTGGCTACATCCCTCTCTCTTCCACTGGCTTGTGGACAAAATGGAGAGATGTGAAAGGTGGCAATGGTGTGGGCAGGATCCGGAGAGCTGGTCCAGGGGCCGGCCCGACAAGTGGCTCGAGGCCCACATGGAAGGACCAGGTGCTTCTTGGTGCACTCCTAAAAGAGGAAGAGTCTAGAAAGACACGAGTTAAGTAAAGGGGGTCAATGTAAACTCTTGCACCGAGGTTAACAAAACTGATTTCACAACTACAAGATGGGGAAAGGATGCCTCACAACAGTGAATCTGAAAAAGATCTGGGTGTTTTAATAGCAACAAGTTTGCCAGGAGTCTGTAGAACAAGGTGGCAGCAGATAAGCTTGTGCCATCAGAAGCTGCCTTAAAGACTCATCATGTCTAAAGCAAGGATGGGGACCACCCTCTTGTCCTCTCCTGGGCCTGGGCAGGCTGCCTCTGGAGTTCTATGTTCGGTCTGGGATGACAGAGATAAGCTCAGGCTATTGGGATGGGGCGGGGGGTAGGGGAGGAGGGCTTTCACACCACGGTGTACCAAGACTGGCCAAAGGCTCTAGAGAGGCTTTGCCTAGAGCTGCTTCACACTGACATCGTACAATGCTGCTTACAAAATGCCCATTTTTACAGAGTAGATTTCATTCAAAATCTGAAGTGTAACTGGTAAATGTTGCTTTTATGAATTGGTTTCAGAACTTAGCAAAAGAAATGACTCTTATAAAGAGCAATAATTTAAAGGGCCACAAACATCTTCCTGCAAAGGCATTTTAAAGTCCAATGTTAATAATTTTCAGGGAAAAAACTGAGACTGATTTCTGCATTATCCTCCTCACTTTCTAAGTCTTTCTGTTTCTCTGGAGAGTTACACTGGCCATGCATTTTTTCTGTTTTCCTCTTTCTCCTGTGAGTGTACACGGGATGAGTCATCTTGTTCGTCTCAGGTCGCAGACCACTGGTCTCTTGTCTCTCCAAGGCCAGCTGGAGGCAGCTGTAAAACCTGTAAAGAAATAAGCATCAGCCTTGTATGTTGGGATGGTCAGGAAAAGAGTGACAACTAAAAGATATGCCAGCAGCTAACAAAAACTGGGGGGTGTTGCTAGGACCAGACAAACATAAATGCTGAGCACTTGACATTTGTCAGGTATGCACTTAGAAGCCAAACACAAAAATGCCCGTTTCACATTATTTACATCTAGAAAACAGGATATAAAGAAACACACCGCTCCCCCACCCCTGCCGAGGTTTTGACTCTAAAATCAATTGAAAATTCCTTGACTTTGGCCAAGAAACGGTCTTGGGAGTTGGGCTGGGAGTCTGCCATCCCCAGGGAACCTTCCATTTGGCCAGAGAGAAGACAAGCTTCCTGAGGGCGCCCTTCACTCTTCTCTTTCTTTCTAGCAAACGCACGTCAGTAGGACATAGGTACCATGTTGTCTTGAGGCAGCTGTCTCTTCTGTTCATCTCACACCACAAAATCACCACAGAGGCCACCTGCCCAATGTCAGGGCCTGCTACTCAGAGATCTCCTTTGGGCATGAGCTGCCCATCATTTCCAGGTGGTTGGCCATAGCCTCTGCACTTTGAAAGTGGCTCAGGAGAAATCAAACAGAAAGCAAGCCTAGAATCACAACTTGAAAGGCAGTCCTGAAGAGGGCGCCATGTTTTTGGATTATCTCTATTAAATATTATTGCCCATTCCTGGATAATGAAAGATGTATGAGATGGTTACAAATGCTTTATATCAAGACCCACACAAAGAGGATGAACGCTCTCTGAAAAGCTGTCTTGTCAATCACATGGGATAAAAGCAACTCAATGCTGACATGTAATTTACATCAATCTTCTTCTTAAAGGGCTTGAAGATTCACTCCGTGGGTGTGTGTGCACTTGGAGGCAGACCTGGAATCAACAGGAAAGTGCAGCAGAAAAGCTCCCCAGCTGGAAGGCAAAGACAGAAGTTGTTCACGCTAGCTGTCCTCAAGGAGGAAGGATGCTCGGCTCTCAGAGAGCTGTCTCTCCTGACTTTTGGTCTTCCTTGACGTCCTCCTGGGGCAAACCGCTAGTGCGACAGAAGTGAAGCACACACATGGGCTGGCGATGATGTTTTCCCACTTTTCCCCCAGAGCCTGCTTCCCCACAAGGGAGCTCGTGGCTGGAATGAAGCCAGTGCCCCCAAGGCTCTCAGGCTGTCCTTGGGCTCAGTCTATGCCAGGGTGGGTGTGATGGCCAGGCTGGCGAAGTGCTCCACTTTGTGAAGGGAAGCCAGCATCCAAGACATAGCAGGACTGCCCTGCAACAGCGTCTTTAGCTTCTGAAATGGGGGCATGAATGAATTTGTGTAAATTGGGGGTTCCATTTTAGACCTGCACTAATAACAGATGGCTGTGCTCACATAGATCTGTGTACTGCATACTTTAGAAGGATGTAGCTGTACCATATTGTATTATGAGAAAAAAATAAAAGGATGAATGACACGACTCCCCCCTTTGTTCTCGTTATGGAGGGAGTATGCAAATTCCTGCAGGCCAAGACAATTTTTTCCACATTACACAAGGATACAAAAAAGTCATCCCTTCCCCACTCTAGAGAATACTGAATTAGTCCTGATGGGAGCATAAGCGCTACTCTCGCATCCCCGCCGGGGCCCTGAGGGCCAGGGATCAAGGACTCTCTTTGACGGGATCCCAGAGGAGATGAGGACGGAAGAGGGGTCCTAGGTCCAAGAAGAATGGGGTGAAAGAGGAAAGATGGTCCATGGGCCTGGAGGCAGCTGGGGGTCAGGGGTTCATCTGCTCCACTAATCATCTTTATGGTGCCCCGGCGGCCCCCTTTAGATCCATGCAGCACTTTTCTTTTTAAAATGAGGTCTAAAAGACCGCAATATGGATTCAGTCTTCATTCCAAGTGGCTGTTTCAATGCCCCATGCATGGCATTCTCGAGAGGTCACAAAAGGAACATTTCCCTTCTCATTTCAGTCACATTTATAAATCCCACCACAAGGCAGCACAGCTTAGTGCAGAGTGCTCCGGATCTGGAGTCAGAGAACCCTGTGGGTTCCAATCCTGGCTGTGCCACTTACGACCTGTGGCATCTTGGACAAGCCCCAGGTCCTTTACCTCTAAAAGGGCACCAGATTGGACCACACGCCAACTTCGGTCCCTTCCACATCCCAGCCTAAGCTCCTACAAGCCTACACTGAGATGAGTCATGAAATCATTTGAGTAATGAACACATTTATGTAGTTTCTTCATTCTCTTACATTGGCACGTCCACAACGAAGTTTCGCCCCCTCCCCACTATTCAAAATCTTGAGCCTTTCTTTTATTCCTCTGAGCCTTCTATTTCTGAGCCTCCAAGAATTTCTTGGTGATTAAATCATATTTTCTTCATTAAGTTTTTGCTTTCATTACTTCAATTTTTTTTTTTTATCATGCACATCTGAATGCTCAACTCTCGGTGCTCCATTTCAGCACTGAATGTCTGATTACAGCCCTCATCAAGTTTTCATTTTTCACTCTCGAAGAGCTATTTTTTCTTTCCATTTGGCAGAATGTATAGCGGATCCTAAGAGAGCTCTACTAATTTGTTCACACTTTCAAAATTCATATGTAATCTTCTAATCAGTACCTTAAAGCGGTCTTTACATTTCTCTAATTTTTTCTACTGGTGTCGTATGATGAGCAAAGCTCTCAATAGCATTTATAATTTTAAACTTTTTAAATTATTTCTAGCACATGGTCCAAAGTAGAGTTTGATTTTATAATTGGTGAATAGGGCTCAATTACCTTCCTCAGCACGTAGCCAACCTAGATTGGCCAACGGAGAGGAAGTCTGCATTAGGCCAAGGCCACAAAGCCGTCTGTTACCTGGCCACTAGGGAAGTGAAAGCGGTTACCAGCAGTAGGACCTACACAAAGCTCACAGGCAGATACCGGCAAGAGCAGAGCATCTTTCCCCACTGTGGGCTCTTGTGTTAAACCACGTGTGGTGACAGTGAGCCCAGCTGACTCTAGAATGCATTGGTGCTCAGCTGGGTCACTCAGTTTCATCCTGTCTCAAGCCCAAAGCCTTCCTCCCTAGGCCCAGTCAGCTTCCTCTCTGCTGAAGGGCTGAATCATCCCACTGCCTGCCCATTGCTACCAAAGACTGAAATTAAAATGGAGTGTCCAATGGAGACAGTTCAGCAGTATAGTCTTCTTCTATAAAAGACAAAGTGTTATCATTCTGAAACAATCAGTCATAACACAACTAAGGAGAAATCAAAAACATAAAGTGCCTGACAGTTCTGTAGGCCAGAAGGAGTGATCTGGGTGAAGTAGAAAGGAGCTGGAAACCCTCTCGGTGAAGACCTTGGTTGTTCTCTTTTCTCTCAGAGAAGGTGGGCAGATTACCGTCAGGGCCACACCCAGGCCCTGGCCTCAGGGGCAGGTAGCTCAGGACAGTCACATCCGGGCCCTCCGGTGACCTGGGCTTCAGCGACTGCATCACATTTTTAAAATGGCGCACACCTCTGGGTTGACGTGCAGTTGCACACACAGATGAGGGTTTTTTGCTGGTGTACCGGACACAGACCTGGGCTGAGAGCGAGGATGCCGCTAGGTATGATACTCCATTTATGTCCTCCCTATGGGGTGAAGGGCTGGCCTCCGTCTTGAAGCTCCTCCCCTCATGCAGGTCCAGTCCCAGCCTTCTAACATAAATGGCAGCCGCGTGATCACTGAATGGGCGCCCACGTCAAACCTTGGCCCTGCACAAACTCTGTCCCTGCCGCCACTCCCCCGAAGTGCTCTTTGTCTGTCTGTCATTGGTTTAGGGAACTTAAGGGAGGAAACGAGGGACAAACATCCAAAATTCATAATCTGCATCAGAGGCAGACCTTGAACTCCGACCTTGCTCCCACCAAGGCGGGCTCGCTATCCATCAGGCCACACCACCTTCCAGTCTTCAAAAAGGAAGTGGGGTGGGTCGGATTAGGTGTTGGTGACACCAAAAAGGCCGTGGGAGGAGGAACATGGGGGAGTTCACTCGGCCCCCTCTCTGGCTCTGTTTCCTTACCTGGGCCAATGGGGAAGTCGATCTGCAATCCTCCTTAAGGGCAAAATGGACTGATTCTCACTTTCAAATCTGGCCTAGAAGGTTTAGGATAGGGTAGAAGGGGCCGATGAAAATACCTGTCGATCCTTTTCTTGTTTTCTTCCATTTTTTGATTGGCTATTTTCAACAAGAACTCGATATATTCCTCAGTCACCATCAGTCTTCCCTTGTTGCTCAATGGAACTTCCAGGCCGTGAGTACTGCGGACAGCCTGGGAACAAGAAGTGATGTGGAGGCGGTCAGGATAAATGCATTGAGAAGAACCCGCCCCCCGGGCCAGCAACACCAGCCTAGACCTGGCCTGACCAAGTTGAGGACAGGACACAGGACGGTTTCTCCCCACTCTGGCCATTTCCAAAGGCTCGCTGTGCCCGGGCAGCTGGACCTGGGAGACGGAGGAATGGGGCTGTCCAGTAACATATGAGGGGCAGTGGTGGGAAGAGCCGGGACCCTGAGGGCACAGGGAATCTCTGGATTCCTGCGGAGGGCCCAATCCAGGCAGAGCCAGCAGCTCAGTGGAGAACAGAATGGTGGTGAGGCCTGAGGCAGGGAGTCCACTGAGGAGCCTGCAGGCAGACTGCAGGGGAGAGGATGTGGGGGCCTGGAGGGGCAGAGGAGAGGGGACAAAGGCATCGGGCCTCGTGGAGAGAGAACGACATGGGATCTTTCAGACAACCCAAAACAGCAGGCCCCCAAAGCAGACACCGCCTGAGTGCATGAGTACCAATTATTACTGAACACACTGATCTGGCTTTTTAATTCGCTCAGAAGTCTTACGTTTTTGGAGCACCGTAATCTGAAACAACATAAGGAAATGGCCCTTGGGCCCACCGATGGTCCCCTTTACAGCAGAATAGCTGAATAACGGGATCAGGCAGCACGGAATCCTGGGCCAGAAGAGCGCCGCAGTCACAGCCCTCGGTGCTCCGAGGGGCCGATGTCACTGGGGGATGGCCTCTGGAGCTGAGCCCAGAAAATGGAGGGCCAAGGGGGCTCAAGGGCTTGTGGGGACACCCCTGCCTGGAAAACTCAGCTGGGACCAAGGACAGCGGAGCCTGTGATGAAAGGCTAAGAGCAGCAAGGAGGACCCGAGAGCGGGTGCCACGAGGAAACCTCCTTTCCCCTTCTGCTCCTCTGTCGAACCCACTGCAAGGCCCGGCTTGACGCCGTCATCGGGCACCGTGGGCGTTCCCTCAGCGGTCCGGCCCGCAGTGGCCCACCCTCCGCAGGGCACGTGCACTCCTGACATGAACCATGGCCTCGTGTCTCAGCAGTGCTTCAGCAAAGCTGCCATTTCCACAGTGCCCGGAGGCCTGCAGAATGCTCCTACCAGAGCCCTGGGAGAAAAGCCCCATCAGTCAAGGATTACTAAGAAAGAGCTGAGTAATAACGACGAGGATGACAGCGGGTCTGTATACAGTGCCCGCCACATGCCAGGCATGGGGCTGAGCGTGCTTCCTGTGTCCTCTCACTGCATCTTCACAACCACCAGTCATCATCCCCATTTTACAGATGAGGACGGTGAGGCCCCGGGTCACCCAGCAAGTCAGCGTCGGAGGCTGGGAATGAACTCAAACTCAGTCTGGGTGTGGCAGTGCCCCCCGCGATCTTCACGTGGCACATGGCATGGGCGGGGAGGGCGAAGGTGAGGCAGCCCTGGCCTCGGGCTCGGAGCTCCCACGCCCTCGCCTTCGCGGGTGGCTTCTGTGGGCACCCAGTGGGTCCTGGGCCGCACGACGGCGGCAGGGTCCAAGAGAACCCAGAGGCCAGAAGGCAAGACGAGGTGGACGGGGAGAGACGCCTGGCCTGTGCCTTCAAAAATCACCCTGACGCACCCCCGAATGGGAAAGTGCGGCCAGCTGGGCACGCAAAGAACAGCTGAGGGTCTCAGTGGGCGGTGAAAATGAGCCTCGGTGGGCTAGAGCGCTCCCCCTCGTGCTGGGCCCATCTCCCCCTCCTCCAGACGGACACAGCTCAAGCGGGGCTCAGCTTCCCAGCAGGCAAAGGCAGACATCAAGCAGAGAAGGGCCTGTGGCCAAGGGAGGGCTCGGGGGAGAGTGAGCCATCGCACTGGGGGTGACCAAAGATGCTGGGGAGTCAACCTTGGTGTGACCTCAGGAGCAGCCAGGGGGTGACACAGTGAACAGGGCCTGACGGGGCGGCCGGGGGCGCCACAGAGCGCAGGGCCTGAGGGGGCAGCCAGGGGGTGCCACAGAGCGCAGGGCCTGAGGGGGCAGCCAGGGGGTGCCACAGAGCGCAGGGCCTGATGGGGCGGCCATGGGGCGCCACAGAGCGCAGGGCCTGAGGGGGCAGCCAGGGGGTGACACAGAGCGCAGGGCCTGATGGGGCGGCCAGGGGGCGCCATAGTGCACAGAGTGCCAGGAGCCTGGAATCAGGAAGACTCATCTTCCTGGGTTCAAATCCAGTCTCAGACATTTATTAGCTGTGTGACCCTGGGCAAGTCACTTCACCTTTGCCTCAGTTTCCTCACCTGTAAAACGAGCTGGAGAAGGAAATGGCCAACCCCTCCAGCATCTCTGCCAAGACAACCCCCAATGGGGCCAGGAAGAGTCGGACATGACTATAAATGACCAAACCACCCCCAATCAGTAAAGACTTCCAAATGATGAACGTGCCCCGGGGTGGCTGGATGGCCCGTGAGGTCCCTGCCACCTTCTGACGGCCCTCAGAGATTATCTGCTGAAACGTCGCCCACGGGTTCAACAACATAGGAATTCTCCGTACCAGCATAGTCTTCCCTCTTTTTCCAACTGTGATGCCGGAGTTCCTGAAGCCAGAGTCTACAGCCACGGAATGCTGTGGGAAAAGGACAAGAAGGACTACGCTCTCCTCATCTGCCTCCACTTAGCTCCGCTAAACGGCCGACGGTCAGACGCCGCCAGCGGTCACCCACGGACAAGTCACCCACCTCGGCTTCGTTGAAAAGAAGCTTTCATAGTGCTTGTACGGGAAACAGTAAAACAACAGACTGGGAAATGTCTAGATGCAGACTTCAACCGAATTGTTCCCTAAAAGATCTAACTTGGCCAATAACCATTTCTAACCTAGGGAAAACCAAACCAAACCTTTTCTTAAAACAGTGGTACAACATATCAGGTGGGCATCTTGCCCAGCCGTGTCCTCCCCGCTGACCCCTGCGTGGGGCTTTCTTAGCAAATTCAAGCCCTTCTCCACGTGTACCCACATGGAGGAAACCAAAGCAAACAAGGTTGAGTGACTCATCCAGGGTCACTCAGCTAGTAAATGTCTGAGGCTATATTTGAACTCAGATCTTACTAACTTCAGGCCCAGCACTCTATCCATGTTGCCTACAAAATGATGCTAACTGCAGGCAGAGACATAAACTTGAGGCTACTTTAATTGAGTTCTCTTTCTTTCCTCCCTCTCTCTGGAGCTGCTTCTTAATGAACACAGCTGGATTTTCCCTAATTATTATCATTTTAGCCCTTAAGGATCACCCCCAGCAAGAGTTTTCTCACCCACAGAATGAAGGGCTCTCCGTCTGCCTCCCAGCTCTAGAATTCTGACTCTAAGCTAACTTAGCGAGAGAGGCTCTGGACTATCCCAGGCTATCGTTAAAGGGGGCCAAACTGAGGACTCAGGAAAGGAGGAAGTGGGCAACCCCACAGGCCTGACCTCTACAAGGCCTCCTCTCAGGAGTCCTCCATGTTGGCTGTAGTTAGAGAAAGTGGGGACAGACAGGGAGGCCAGCCGAGGGTAGGGGTGGAGGTGCAGGGCTGAGCCACCTGGCTCCTGGCATCTACAATGCCACCAGCCAGTTCAGACTCAGTCCACAAGCATTTAGGGTTAGGCTTAGGGTGGCGCCTCACTAGGTGTGGACAGAACATATTAAAAAAATGACCAATCAGATAAACACAGGAGCTTAAAACTGTAAGGATGTTTCCCTTGTGATTGTTCAAATAACAGAAACAAAAACCCTTGCAAACATCCCAGAAAACCCCTCACTTCATGAGCCATTTTCATAGTGTTTCCCAGGCACAGAAAGCCACGTTGGGCCAAACCCACCCACACCTGCACCGCAGCCCACTGAAGGGCTGAGGTGCTGCTTTACCAGGATTTGGGCATCCTGCAGCTGCCGGCACTGGACATGAAGGACAAAGGGCTCGAATTTCAGCACGGCGTCCCCTCGGGCTTTCTTCAGAGCTGAGAGCTAGACAGCAGCACCAGAGAGGGGGAAGGAGGTCAGGCAGGGCCTGTGCCCACCTTGTCTTTCTAGACCAGCAATGCCCTTTCCCCCAAATCGCCACTTCCTTCCCTCAGACACCCTTCTCTGTCACCCTCTGCAAACCCTGAGCATCCCCCAGAGCCTACTGGGGCAGTGGCTGCAGAGCAGCATCCCCCAGGCGGCAAAGGCAGCTGGACAGCAGGGTGGCCTCCCCTGACGCCCTTCGGGGGATGACAATCTCAGAACTAGGCCCACTGGCAGAATGGAATTCATCAAGAAAAGCAGAGGGTGACTGGCTTCCTCTAGAGCACAGTGATCTAAGCCTTGGGTTACCTATGAAGTGGATTTTTTAAAAACTCATATTTCATGTATTACTATATAAGACATAAAATAATTTTTTAAAATGTTGAGAGTTATACATGATTCTGATGAGACTGAGGCCAGACCTGTGATTTCTTTGATTTTAGGGAAGGCCTAGGTGAGGAAATTCTGTCTACCAATCCAGGCCGGCACCCTCTCTGCAGCCTGTCACCTCAGAGAGCCGCCCCTGAGCTGCAAGGACAGCCTTCTGCCCTAACTGCACACTCCCCCTCTAGATCCTAATGAAATGGTCCATTTTAAGTAGGCCAAAGTCACCCTCGTATCTTCTTTATGAAAACAAAAACTAAAATTCCAGTCACTTGATGTCAAGATCATTCATCTGCAAACTCCATTCTCTTTTCTTTCTGGAAAATGATGGAAACATTTTCCCTCTAATCTTGTGCCCTTTCATGCTCTCTCTCCGTTCCTCCTCCTCTCCTTCCTCTCCCTCCACTTCCCTCCCCTCTTTCTATCTCTGTCTCTTCCTCCCTCCCCTTCTCTTTCTGTCTCTCCCCCTCCCCTCCAACTTCCGGTCTCTCTCATTTTCAAGGACAGACCACTCCTAGAGGCTCAGCAAGCACCCCTGCTCCTCCTTTCAGTTCCTTGGAGACTAGATCACAGGGGGCCAGTATTTGGGCCCCATCTGCCCCTTCTTACCCCCAGTGCCCTGTGGGCCCTGGCTACTTAAAGCGGACTCCTTGTACTGGGGGTGGCCTGCCTTCACCTGAGGGGCATGGAAGGGGGGGTGAGAGGCTTCCTGCTGCCTCCCTAAACCCTGTCCATGGTCCTTACCACATCATCCTTAGCACAAATTCGGTGGGTCACCAGCAGCCAGGAACAGTTTTGCTTCTGGATTTCACAGCCATTGAGGCCCTATGGGAAGAAGAGACCTCGTTACCTGAAGGCCTGAAGCAAAGCTAAAAGTTTCCCAAAGAAAATATTTGCATCAGTGAGAATTCACCAAGTGTTTGATGATTCTAAGCACTATTCAGTGGGATTCCAACAGCTGGGTGAAGTAAGTCATCCACAAACAGAAGGAACATCTAATGTTCACTGAGATCAAAGGGCATTGCATCCCCTAAGAGGTCAGAGGGCGCTCCAAAGTGCTTCGTCTCACCTGATGGAACAAGGACCCCTGTGATAGAAAGCTTGTCTGTGAGGGTGACCAGTGAGGCAGAGAAGGGAACAGGGTCTGCAGGGATGGGGGAGGGGAGAGTTTGGGACGTGTCCCTGACTCCCTGCTGACCGCTCTGGGTCCTCTGCCCAGACGCTGTTGGGAGGGGAAGGCCCGGACCGCCTCTGTGTAGGATGAAGCATGAAGGATCTTTGGAAGTGACCAAGAGCCTGGGCATGAAGGGCTTGGGATCAGGAGAGGGGCCTCCAGCAGGAGGGGCCAGGAGCCCCTTAAGAGACTTGCAAAATCCAGGGAAAAGGAGACTGGTTCATTTCACGTTTAAAAAACTTACAGAAACTGAAGCCACTGCACAGCGCTCACTTGATAATTATCCAGACTTGCTCCACGTCTGTCTCTCTCCATACACACATCCAACACACAACATACATGCATGCACATACTTACACGTATGCATACCACACACATACATGCGCCTCATACACATACAACACATGTGCACACATACACTCACACACATATGCACACCACACACATGCACGCAATCATACACACATACAACACAACACATACTCACACCACACATGCATGTACATCATGCACACATACATGCAGATCATGCACACATACACACCCCCAAACATACACTCTCATACATACACCCATATGCACACCATCACACATATAACACACATGCACACGCACACACACATACACACACGTGCATACCACACACATACATCGCACACACATATGCACACCACACATATACATGCACACCATACACATACGACACACATGCGCACACATATACCCTCACACACATATGCACACCACACAATACACATACATCATACACACACCCCCACACGTACATCACACACATACAACACACATGCACACATACACTCTCATACACATGCATACCACACACCAAACACATATACGACACACATATACATGTGTGTGATGCACACTCACACATGCACACCACACCACAACACACATACACACACAAAACACATATACATACATCATATACACACATGCATACTCACACATATATGCACACCACATACATACACGTACATCACACACATGCATGCACGCGCATGTACACACTCACACACACACACTGACACACACACACTGATGGCCGCCCGCGGACCCCAGGACCTCCATTCGGAGCTGACACACTCCTTAGATCCCTCCTCCTCTCGCTTGGGGCGCTAGAGGGGAGGGGAAGGCAGTGCCTGCAGACCCCGACGCACACATTCCGCGGGAGGCTCCCGCCCTGGCCCCGCTCCCCAGGTCGCCTCCTTAGACATAGCGTTCGGGCCCTGGCTAGGGGAGGGCCGGGGTCTCCGGGCCCCTCCCTGCACCCAGCCGGGGGGGGGGGAGGGGCCCTCTGGATCACCGGACATCTGCCCACACCTCAGGGGGCAGCTGGGGGCGGGGCTGCCGTGGAATATGAAACCAGCCGGATCAGAGGGTCCAACGAGCCCCGCGGACCCGGGAAAGGGGCTCAGCGGACATCTAGCCCAACCCCCTCATCTGACAGAGGGGGAAACTGAGGCCCCTGTGCTGTGATCAGTCAAAGGCCACGCGGGCAGCACTGGAACTGGCCTTCGCTGCCCTGCCCTCCCGGTCACCCCGGGGCCCGAACAGGACCTTGACCCATGCGCCCCTCCCTCATGAGACTGGGCCTCTCTGCACACAGCAGGAGCTCAATAGCTGCAGGGGGCCCGCCTGATACCCCCTCTTGGGAGCACCTCACTTCCCTGACAGGGCTACACAGACGTGAATTATTTAGTATCACCGGAAGGGGGGCGTCGCTGGGCCAATCAAGGGACATCAAAAGGGGGCAGGGCCTGGGCAAAGCACAGAGAACCACAGTTTCCATGGCAACAACAGCTCAGGGTGAAGAAGAGAACCAGGGCGCATGTGTGCAGGTCCAGCTGTTGTCACGGCAACGCCAGGTCTGCCACGTGGGGGAGAATGTTTCCCTGGTAACGGGGCCGGCTCCCCGCAGGGGGGCGGGGGAAGAGGAGCCTGCCCGGGGCCTGCCGTTTCCATAGCAGCAGAGGGGAGCGCGCGTGCACTCACCCCGTCCAGCAGCAGGATGCGGCCGGAGCAGGAGCTCGTGGTGAAGAACTGCTCCCGGCCGTTCAGGAGCCGCACGAGCTCCACCACGTCCTCGTCCACACTGCCCTTCCGGCTCAGGTCCGCCTTGCTGAGGCTCTGCGCCTTCCACTTCTGGAATTCGCCCGAACGGTCCATGAGGATACGGACCGGGTCGGGGCGTCTGCCCTGCGCTGACGCCTACGCTGACGCGACGCCGACGCCCCGGCGGCCTCTGAGCTGGCCTCATGGGCGCCGCCATGTTGGACGTGACGGCGGCTGCCCTGGGACAAAGGGCCTTTTATGCCTGCGCAGGCCTTTCGCGCAGTGGATTCCGGGCGGGGCCTTAGAGAGTAGGGGGCGGGGTAGGCGGGGCGGAGCCTCGGAGCACCGAGGGGAGGGGCTGCAGGGGCTGGCAGGGCGGGGCCTCGGGAGCACTTCGGGGCGGGGCTGCAGGGCTGCAGGCTCCGCCCTCCCGCTCCGCCAGTCTGCTGAGTGGCCTCTTCCTTGGGGGTCGCACCCGGACTTCCCCTCCTGCAGCCCTCGCCTGGTCTCCCCCTGAGCGCCTCGGCAGCGGCAGGGGCGCAGGCGCCGGAAGGTGAGCGGCCTCCGCTTCTCCGCGCTCAGTCTCTCTCGCTGTCGCCAGCGCTTCTCCCGCTCCCAGCCGGAGCCTGCCGCGGGGTGGCGAGCACGGCTTCGCGCCCCTCCCCCATGTGGACTGTATGCCCAGGAGGGCAGGCGCTCCTTCCTTTCCTTCTTTCTTCCCTTCTTCCTTTCCTTTCTTCCTTCCTCCCCTTCTTTCCTTCTCTCCTGGCACCCAGCCCGGGGCCTGTAGAGCACGTGACTGTGGGGGAAGGCGTCAGCCCTGCCTGGCCCCCTCCTGTGGGGATGGTGGGCTCCAGCTGGAGGAGCCTCCGAGGCCTCCTAAGCCCGGGGTCAGTTTTGAGCAATGTGCGTTGTTATTCTGTTTCCAAGTCAAGCCCACAAGCATTTATTAGCCGCCTAGTGTGTGCCAGGCACCATGCTCGGCAGAACCAGCCCCTGCCTGCTCAAGTGGGACCGAGTCCAGGCTGTAAGAGGGAGATCTGGGAGCCCCTCTCCAGGGCCAATTCTGCCTGCCAAGCACGGGGCAAAGAATGGAGAAACCGCCAGATAACAGATAGGTCTCTGCCTATGGACAGCATGGATAGCAGTGGTCTGGGGGAGAGGTGTGTGCCACTGGGCAGAGGGCTGGGCCTGGCAACAAGGCCTGTGCTCAGATACTGCCTCGGAGGCCTTAGCGCTGTGTGTCCTTGGGCAAGTCACTTTAATGGTGCCTGCCTTAGTTTCCTCATCTGTAGAATGGGGCTGGTAGTAGCCACTGCCTCCCAGGGTGGTTGTGAGAATCCAGAGCCCTTAGCACGGTGCCTGGCACACAGCGGACGCTATAGAAATGCTGTCTGTTGTTATTATTATAAAATAGGTAGGACGTGGCAGAGCTGGGATTTGAACCCATTTCCTGATTCTAGAGTTTAGGGTACCCCCGTGAACTTAAGAAGGTATATTTGGATAAGATGGCTCGCCTTTTCTGGGCCCACGTGTTCTGTGGCTTGCATTCCAGGCAGGGGTCAAAGGCTCCTTGGGAGTGGCAGTGACTTTGCCCTTCTCTACCTCTTCCCCCTCCTGGTGCCCTCAGAGAAAGCTGGGGAGGAAGGCACGTGGGGCTGCTTGGCAGCTTCTGCCATGCTTGGGTCCAGGGCCTTTTGCCTTCACAGCGCAGCCCTTGTTCACTGAAGGACCAGCCTGTTGTTGGTGACTTGGGGGTGGAGGCAGGTGTCTCAGCATCCCAGAGCCTGCTGCTGCTGCTGCTGGCTCCAGCCAGAGGGTTTTAGGGTCCCAGTGTCCTGGGGCTGGGGCTCAGGGGCATCTGAGCTCCCTCGTCTGTCCGGAGAGGTGGGTGACTCGTCCGGGCTGACCCAGGGAGGAAGTGGCCGAGCCACATTGGAGCCGGGCTCCAGGGCCTTTGGGGTCAAGAAGGGAGATGTCCGTTCTCTCCCTGGCCGATCCTCTGCAGGTGGAGAGTTCTCTGCATTGGCTTGGGTGGCCTGGCAGCCCCAAGCCCCTCAGGAACCCCTCAAGCACAGGGGTGTCGTGGGAGGACAGGAATATGCCTGATTGGGGTGGCTCAGTGAGTTCACCCTCCCTTCTGTCTTTGGACCCGGTGACCTTGGGTCTGTACCTGGATGGCTCCGGGGGCCCTCTGGGGGCAGCGGTGAAATGGGGTCAGCGTGTTCAGCTTCGGTTGTGCTATAAAACGAGGTGTGGGGTCGCTGGTGGGGAACCAGAAGGGCTTGGAGAAAGTGGCAGCAGCCACGGACACGGGGCCCTGTGCCAGAAAATCACAGGCTTAGTGGAATCTCAGCGGTCCATGGTCACTCCTTCACGTGGGTTGATTTCCTCAGAGGAGTCAGTCCCCAGGTGGGCATAGCGTCCTGGAAGCGTCTGCTCCGCAGGCTGCTGGCGGCTTGGCCCTTGGCTGTAGCTGCTCTCACGTGATGTAGGATCAGGAGGATTCGGAGGGGTGGGTGAGGATTGGAGAAAGGGTCGTGGTGTGTCCCAGAGGGACGGAGGCCTTGGAGAAGGCTGAGACCCAGGGAGGGGCAGGTAGCATCCGGGGCTGGACTGGAACCTGGAGCCTCAGATACTTCCTAGCCGGGTGACCCTGGTCAAGTTACTTGAGAGCTTTGTGCCTCAGTTTCCTCATCTGTAAAGTGGGGATCCTGAGCCTCCCCCCCCCCACAAGGCTATTGGGAGAGGAGCATAGGAAGAACTCAGCTCTTCCCTATCCTGAGGGCCAGGCCTGCTGTGCACAGGGAGGGGGGTGAGGGATGAGGTTTCTGGCCCCGCCCTCGCTTCCCTTCCCTTCCCCTGGCTGGAGTGGGTCAGGGGGTCAGTGCACACCTGTGCATTGGGAGGAGGCAGGAATGCTTGGGGTCATTGTATTCAGTTGTGCCTTATGTTTGCACATCCTCTCAGCCACCTGCCTAGGACAGCCTGAAAACAGGCCAGCTCTGCCTGGGCTTTTGCCTGTCCAGGCTCTTCTCACCTTCCCGAGGTGGCCAATGAGGAGTCCCTCCCTGAAGGAGTTTGGACACAGGAGATGATGTCTGACTGTGGATTTTCTGTCCCCTCCCCCAGACCACCATGGCCACCCAGCAGAAGCTGATGAGAGCTATTAGGGTCTTTGAGTTTGGTGGGCCACAGGTGCTGAAGCTACGCTGTGATGTCCCTGTGCCTGAGCCAAAAGAGAATCAGGTGGGACATGAAAGGCCATCCAAGCCAGGGGCCAGAGCCAGGAGGCTGGAGCCTCGAGGTCACTGGGAGGGGCCTGGGCCACACTGGGGAGCAGAGACCCTTGGTCACTGGGGAGGGGCCTGGGCCACACTGGGGAGCAGAGACCCTCCACCCCTGGTCAGTGGGGAAGATCTGCACTTGGGAGCAGAAACCCTTAACCCCCAGTCACTGGGCAGGGGCCCAGGTAGCATTAAGGAGCAGAGACCCTCAACCCCTGGTCACTGGGGAGGGGCCTGGGCTACACTGGGGAGCAGAGACCCTCAACCCATGGTCACTGGGGAGGATCTGCACTTGGGAGCAAAGACCCTCGACGCCCCTGGTCACTGGGGAGGGGCCCAGGTAGCATTAAGGAGCAGAGACCCTCGACCCCTGGTCACTGGGGAGGGACCCTGGCCGCACTTGGGAGCAGAGACTCCTGGTCACTGGGGAGGGGCCTAGGCCTCACTGGGGAGCAGAGACCCTTGACCCCCGGTCACTGGGGAGGGGCCCAGGTAGCACTGGGGAGCAGAGACCCTTAAACCCCTGGTCACTGGGGAAGGTCTCAGGCCACACAGGAAGCAAAGACTCTTGGTCCCTGGGAAGGGGCCTGGGCCACACTGGGGAGCAGAGACCCTCTACCCCTGGTCACTGGGAAGGTTCTGCACTTGGGAGCAGAAACCCTTAACCCCTGGTCACTGAGCATTGACCCAGGTAGCATTGAGGAGCAGAGACCCTCGATCCCTGGTCACTGGGGAGGGGCCTGGGCCACACTGGGGAGCAGAGACCCTCGACACCCCCCTTCCTGGAGGACGTGGGGTGAGGCCTGTGGTTTAATCCTACACACAGCTTCTGAAGATGTACCCTTGATACAAAGTTTGGTGAAGCGGTCACGTCTGTGTTTCAGCACCGGATAAACGTGTTCTGTGCCTTGCAGGTCCTGATCAAAGTCCACGCATGTGGCGTGAACCCAGTGGAGACCTATATTCGTTCCGGGACCTACAGCCGGATCCCAACTCTGCCGTACACGCCTGGCTCGGATGTGGCAGGGGTCGTGGAGAGTGTGGGAAGGCGCGTGGGGCACTTGAAGGTAGAGGCCTGAGCGTTTCCTTTCTCAGCTGCCTTTTCTCCAGATACCTCCACCCCCTCGCTCATGCTGCCCAGCTAGCCCTGGTGTCTCTCGCTCCTGGTGCTGGCCTGTCTGCAGGTCAGCTGGGAACTTCTCTTTTAGCCGCTGGTCAGGGCCCGCAGCCAGACCAAGCACTGACCACTTTCACCCTCCGGAGCATTCTGGCTTTCCGGCCTTCCCTTGCTGGCGGAGCTCACGTGCCAAGGGGGCAGCGTGGGGCTGGCCGCCTGCAGGACAAGGACATTCAGAAGCAGGAGGGGCATCCGGGCCTCGAGGTGGAGGCAGCCAGGGCTCAGGGCTGGGCCGGGGTCTCTTACGGCTCCATGGTTAGACTGCAGAGGTCCGGGACCTTTGGGGGGGAAATGACATCTTGCCTTTACTGACCTTTGATTTCCTCTGGGGTCGTCTCTCTGTATTCTGTGATGCTGAGGGGGGGGATGTGCTTCAGCAGACCCCTGCTCTGTCTGACAGGGCCTTCCTCTGCCCGGGGGAGGTGCCATGTCAGGTGTCCCTCATAGAGTGACAGGTCCTGGGGACAGGGACCGTTCCGTCCGTGGACCTCTAACACCTAGCACGACACCTGTGATGACTTGCTGGCTTTGGGAACTTCCAGGGGGGGAAGCTCCCTCTGCCCGTGCAGGCTGGTTGCCTCTCTGCCCATGCAGGCCTGGGAGGCACTGAGAATGAGGGGCCAGCACCTTCATTCAGCCCCTTCAGCGGGTGTGCTCAGGATGGAGCGCTCAGCAGAGAGAGCAGGGCCCAGTTTGGCTGGAAGGTGTCCACCTTTGAGTCTGCCGCCGGGCAGTTTTTGAGCATGGGAGCAGTTGGAGCCATAGGAAGGCAGCTCTGGCCGAGGGCACCCTGGGGTGTGGGGGGTGGAGAATGAGCTGGCCCGGTGCCCTGGGCACAAGGACTGTGTCTGGGCTCCCCCATGGGACCCCTGCGGCTGAAAGGCCCAGACTGGCCTTGGCTACAAGCCTAGGACTTGCACCTCAAAATCATGGTCATCGTCTCCTGGGTCTCACCACTTCCCCCTTCCCTGCGTGCACGGGTTGCCTTCATTGCCTCCTCAGATGCCCTCATCTGACGCCCCCACCAGGTGCCCTCATCTGACCCCCATCCCCTGCCACGCAGGTGTCCTCATCTGACCCAACCCCAGGTGCCCTCATCTGACCCCCCCACCCAGCTGTCCTCATCTGACCCACCCCCAAGGTGCCCTCATCTGATTTCACCCCCACCCAGGTGCCCTTATCTGACCCCCATCCCCCAGGTACCCTCATCTGACCCACCCCCCCAGGTGCCTTCATCTGACCCCCCCACCCAGGTGCCTTCATCTGACCCTCCCACAGGTACCCTCATCTGACCTCCCTCCCCAGGTTCCCTCATCTGATCCCGTCCCCAGCTATGAAGGACTCAGCCTGTCCAGAATCCCTCATGCCTTTTCCCCCTCTATCTTCCACAACAGAAAGGAGACAGAGTTTTCACCACCAAAACGGTCACAGGGGGCTATGCCGAGTATACCATCGCCTCTGAGCACACTGTTTTCCCGCTGCCAGAGAAGATGGACTTTGGTCAAGGTGCATCCATTGGGATCCCCTATTTCACAGCCTTCCATGCCCTGATACACAGGTAAGGACCTGGGGGGTGGAGTCGGCCCTCATGGGGGGGTGGGCTCAGCTTCTGTCCTTTTTGACATTTGTGAAGTGCTCTTCACAACCCCCCAGCCCGGAGACTTCAGAGAACATTCCCCACAGTGTTGGCTGGGGTTTGAGCCCAGGCCTGTTGAGGCCACAGGTCACATTCTTGTCCGGTCTGGATCGGCATCCTTTGGCTGCAGCCATGTGACCGCTCCTCCCCAGAGGGCTGGGCCAGTGCCTCCTCTGCTCAGAGCGCTCCCTGCCCTTGGCCCGTGGAGCAGGGCCCCCTATCCTTAGTGCTGCAGTCATGGTGGAGATGCCAGCCTGCAGAACTGAAGCAATTCAGAGCCGGGCAGACTTGGGTTCAGGTTCTTCCTCTGACCCCTGCTGGCTGTGGGGCTGTCGCCCCTCTTGGAACCCTAGGACTGGACACAGGGAGATAGGGGCTCTCTGGCCATCCAGGCCCAGTGGCCTGGCCTTCCCAACAAGCCCCTAAATTGTCATAGACCTGCATGCCGGGGGCGGGGGCCGGCCCAGGGCCAAGCGGGAGGTCATCGGGGCTCTGTTCTCTGTTCCAGAGCCCAGGCTAAGGCTGGAGAGACTGTCCTCGTTCACGGGGCCAGCGGAGGAGTAAGTGTTCTCCAAAGGGTGATGCGGGAACTGTGGGGGGCTGGTGCTGGTTCCTGCTCGAGGGGCCCGAAGGACCACGCCCGGCCTTTGCTTTTGTTAGGCCTGGAGAGAGGCAGGTTGGGGTTGAGCACTGGCACAGAGTCTGCCCAGACTTGGGCCTGAGGCCTCAGGGCCCCCTGTCGTGCCACGTTGGCTTCTCAGGGGACAGCAGCCGTCCCTGTCCACAGGACAGTTGGGCGCTCCTTAGACTCTGCAGCTGTGGCCGATGCAAGGAGGCGGGTCGTGGGCTGCGTGTTTGCTATGTGAGCATTTCTTCTTTTCTGTGCAGGAAGAGCAGATTGTTGTCGTGTGAAAAGATAAACTTGGGGGCAGCTAGGTGGCTCAGTGGATAGAACACCGGCCCTGGAGTCAGGAGGACCTGAGTTCAAATCTGGCCTCAGACACGTAACGCTCACTAGCTGTGTGACTCTGGGCAAGTCACTGACCCTTTCTGTACCCTGGGGAGGCCAGAGAGGGTATTCACAAGACCTTTGCAGATAGCTGCACTGGTCAAGGGAGGGGCTTTGCTCAGAGGCCCCCTGCTTCCCCAGTGCAGTCAGAGGATAGATCTGAACAAGCCTGACAGCTGGGCCTCTAAGGTAGGGTACTTCAGGCCTTGCCCTGGATAGTTCCCAGCATCTTCTGGCACGTTGACTTCCTGGCCGGGCTGTTGGCTCACCTGCTAAGCCATCATGACGCTCTGGAGGATGTGGGCTCCCCGCATCTGGCCGCCCTCATAGATGGCTGGCTAGCTGGCTTGGTGTGCATGGATTCAGAGGGGGGCTCCTTGGAGCAAGAGCCCCAGGACCCCTGCTGTCACCAGATGGTTGAAGGAGCCCCCTGCCTCCCAGAACCTGGGGGACATGACTTAGCATCTTCAGACAGGAGGCCGGTAGGGCCCTTGCTCCTGGGCCTTGCAAGCATCAGGCTGGTACCAGTAGGCCAGGAATTGTGCATCAGCCTGCCTGTGTTCATGCCTTCTCACAAGGTGACCAGGCAGTGCCCACAGGCCCAGTCTCCTGCTGAAGGGATCCGAAGTGGCTTAGCCAGGCATCCCCCTCTCCCCTGCTCAGCCAAGCCAAGAATCAGGCTGCTCAGAGACTGCTGGCTTTCAGAGCTGATGCTGCTTCTGAACTTGGTACACAGAAAAGGGGAGCCAGTTTCCCACTGGCAGCTGGCTCTGTGTGGGGAGAAGTTTAATTGGTTTATTTGATAGGTCAGCCACATCAAGAGCCCCCCTCCTCTGACTCCCCCAGTTGGCTGTTTGAAAGTGGATTAAACATAACTTGGAATGGCCGGGACATGTCCAATAATCTCAGTTACCCTCTAATGGACTTTGAGAGAGCTCACCTTGGTATGCTGTATGACATACAAATCTGTGTGGGAGTCAGAGGGAAGAGCTCAGCAGAAATCCTTGTTCTCCCCAGCACCCTTGTAGAATGCCTGGCTCCTGAACAGCAGTTTTAAAAAGCAGAACCCAGGCACTGTTTCTGAGCGGGTTCAACGTTGGTTAAATCCCTTGGATTACAGTAGCAGTGTGAGAGGCCAGGGGAGGGACTGATGTGGGAAGCTGCATACAAGGGACGGGGGTGGGGGGGGGGGGCTTGGTACCTGGCTTAGTCGTCTGTCTGGCGCAGCGGCTTGCTGCCTTACTGGATTCTAGCTTCTCTAGAGTGGGCCTCTTTGTTTTGTTTGTTTTTTTGGCAATTGGGGTTAAGTGACTTGCCCAGGGTCACACAGCTAGTAAGTGTCAAGTGTTTGGTCTGAGTCCGGGATTTGAACTCAGGTCCTTCTGACTTCAGGGCTGGTGCTCTATCCACTGCGCCACCTAGCTGCCCTTGGAGTGGGCCTGTTTGGAACATGGCACTAGACTACCTGTGGAAGCCTGTGCTTGCATCACTTGGTGAGGGCACCCAGCTAGAGGTGGCTGTCCAGTAAGAGGAGGACAGAAGAGATGTGGCCCACAACAAGCTGTCATGATGGGGCAGCCAGTCTATACCTAAGTGGAACTGAGAGAAACCTGCCCCCCTGGACCTCCTTCTGAAGATAAATAGTAGAGACTGTACATATGGCTCTGTAGTAATGTGTAAATACCACTAGTCTGGAGGCAAAGGTCCCGTGTTCAAATTGTGCCTCTAATGTTTACCACAGGGGCAACTTGCAGAAGGCCCTTCATTTCTCAGGCCTCAGTTTCCTCCTCTATAAAAGAGCCGTTTTGGGTCAGATGGCTTCCTAACTCCGAACAGTCCCAGATCTGTGATTCTAGTATCTTGGACACATCACTAATTCTACGTGGGCCTCGGTTTCCTCAGCTGTAAAAGAACTGTTTGGACTAGACAGCCTTTGTGGCCCTTTCCGGCTCTACATCTGTGACCACAGATAATGATGATGACAACCAGAGTTAATATGGAGCCAGCTGTGTGGCAGGCATGGTACTGAGCATTTTTATAATTATGATCTCACAACAATCCTGGGAGATAGGTTTTGTTGTCGTCCCCATTTTACAGTTCAGCAAACTGAGGCAAACAAGGGTTACGTGGCTTTCTCAAGTAAGCATCTGAGACCAGATTTGAACTTAGGTCCCCTTGACTCCAGGCCTGGTGCTCTGCGCACTGTGCCCCTCCTCCTACTTACTAGCGCTATTACCTTGGGTGCATCACTAATTATCCCAGACCTCCCTTCTTGGAAGCAGGGGATTGGCCTAGATGGTCCGGGGCTCCAGGACAGGGAGTGCAGGGAGTGGCCCCTCGGTTTACCCTGGGGTGCAAGGCTGGGCGTGCTGGAGGATTGGGCACGTGCTAAAAGCCAGAAGCTGCCGTGGGATGGTCCCCAGGGGCTGGGGTCTTGGCGGGTCCAGCCCAGCGCCAGCATCCATCTAGACGTCGCCAGCATCTGTGTCGGCCTCCTGTGCGATTCTCTTGGCCTCTCGACCATGAGCCCGCAGAGGACAGACGTCGCATAGGAAGTCAGGAAGCTGACCAAAGAAACCCAAAGTATTCTTTCTCCTCAGGTTGGAGTAGCGGCCTGCCAGATCGCCAGAGCTTACGGGCTCAAGGTTTTGGGCACAGCTGGTACGGAGGAGGGGAAAGAGATCGTGCTGAAGAACGGAGCCCACAAGGTCTTCAATCACCGAGAGGCCGATTACGTCCAGAAGATCAAGGTGGGATTGCCCTTAGCTCCCAGAGGGCGTGCGCTGTCTTTGGCTTGTTTCTGTGTCCTTGGCGTTTAGCGCATAGTAGGCGTAGCGGTGATGATGATAGCTAGCATTTCTCTGTCTCCTACTCTGTGCCAGGCCCTGCACTTTGCACTTCACAAGGATTCTCCCACTTGGTCCTCAGGACATGGCTGGGAGGGGTATGCTCTTATTAACCCCATTTTACAGCTGAGGAAGCTGAAGCAGGCAGGGTTAGTGATACTCCTGAGGTCACGCAGCTGGTCGGTGTCTGAGGCTGGCTTCTGTGCTGCCTAAAGAAATGCTTGTTCACTGACTGACTCACTGGGCTGCGGGCCAGCACCTCACGCTCACTGCTCATCCTCGGGACTTTGGGAAGGAACGTGAGGGCGGCAGAGCTGGCGGCTCTGTTGCCTCATCCAGTAATGTGGGAGGGCAGTGACAGGGCTGCCACTGTTGAGGCTGGGGCCCCAGGGCCTGTACATCCGTTCTGCTGCTTGGTCAGTGGGCCCAGAGCATGAAGCAGGGCTGGTGAACACTAGTGAGCTAGGTGGGTGCCCTCAGACCCGACTCTGAGCCTCAGTTTCCACATCTGTGAGATAGGGGTCCAGATTTCTCACCTGTCTCATGAGGTCGAGAGGCTCCGACTAGACTGTATCAGCTCCAAGGCCCTGCTAGGCCTGGGTTTGGGGAGGGACCTGCCCATGTGTCCCTCCAGGAATGCTGGCACACCTTGGCGAGGGGCAGCAGCCACTGTGGTCCTTGGTGCTTGGCCGTCCCAGGGAGGGACCATCGCTCCATTCATGGGGCGCTCTAAAAAATCTGTCGCTTTCCCATCGGGGTGCCTTATTGATCTGTGCACTTGTGTCGTGATGTAGGAATATGTTGGGGAGAGCGGACTGAACGTGATCATTGAAATGCTCTCCAACGTCAACCTCCAGAAGGATTTGCAGCTTCTCTCCTTCAGAGGAAGGGTCATAGTGAGTACTGGCTTCTCCAGGACAGGGTTCGAGCTTCACCCCACCCCAGCCTCATGCTCCGTCCCCCTCTAATGTGAACCCCTCTTTGTGCCCAGGTCGTTGGCTGCAGGGGCCCCATAGAGATAAACCCCAGGGACACCATGAACAAGGAAAGCAGCATCATTGGAGCCTCCTTATATTGCTGCACCAAGGTGAGTGCCAGCACCTTTCCGGGTGGTCCCTGAGGGGGTCTTTCAGTCCTGGACCTGGGCAGGCGGTCTGGGAAGAAGCCTGCGGATCCCTTCCCAAAATGTATCAAATACGCTAGGTTATGAAGACTCCCGAGCAGAGCCGGGGCGAGTTCTCAACGTCCACGGACTTCATGCAGCACCCAGAGGGTGTTAAAGTGGTCTGTGCCCCTGTGCCCGCACATCCGAGTGCCTTCAGGGCTCCTGCGTCCCTTTCCCTTCCAGTGTAGAGGACCCTAAGTCACTACATTTTTGCATTTCCCACAGGAGGACTTCCTGGAGTCTTCGGCTGCGCTACTGGCTGGCATGGAGATGGGCTGGTTGTGGCCAGTGGTCGGGCCCCAGTACCCGCTGGAGAATGTCGAGCAGGCCCACGAAGACATCATTAAGAGCCAGGGGGCTTTGGGAAAGATGATTCTGGTCATAAACTGATGCTGCCCGGTCCAGCGAGGACTGTGGCTGCTGCAAGAGGCTCTTCTGCCCCTCCCTCTCGAGCCCTTGGGCATCGGGCAGTGGTGTGATGCCGTGTCTCTTCCCCTCTGGGCCCTCCCAGGCCTCTCTGCCTTGTCATTGTCTGCTCATCAATAAAGTAGATTATTAGCTGTGGTTCCTGATGTGTTTGTGCTACTACTCTGCAGGGGGGTGGAAGCAAACCCTTGACCTGCAGTCTGGGTCTTTGCTCCCAGCCAAAGGGGAGAAAAAGCATCCAGAAGGAGGGAGGGACGTCAGCGTCCCGGGCAAAAGGGAGAGAGGCCAAAGAGCGGAGGGCTGCCAAAAAACATAGAGGCCCCAACTGGGTGAGAAGGAGGTTGTTAATCATTAAAGGAAAAAGAGAGATGCCATGTGATTGCTCAGAAATGTGTTAGGCAAGATCTGGTTCCAGCTCCAATGTTCTTGGCATGTCCCTCGTGCCCTCCAGATACTTCTGGTCAGCCCTCAAGGTGTTTGTGTACGCCGAAAGGCCATCTTCTGCATGTTGAGACTGCTGCACTGCACCTAATACCTAACATGTTAAAAGGAAGGACCTTTGCTGAGTAGAGAGACCTGTAGGAAATAAAAGGGTGGGGAAGCAAATGAAGTGCTAAAACTCCAATAAATAATAAAACAAAATCAAAAGAATGAAAAATCGAAGAGAATATGAAACATCCCATTAGAAATTAGCAACTGATCTGGAGAACAGATTAAAGAAAGATAACATAAGAATAGTTGGACTACCTGAAAATTACAATAGAAAAAGAATCCTGATACATTATTACAAGAAATTATCAAGGAAAATTGCCCTGAAGTTCTAGAACAAAAGGCAAAGCAGAAATAGAAAAAATCCACTGATCACTACCTGAAAGAGTTCCCAGGAGGAAAACTTAACTGGAATATCATAGCCAAGTTTCAAAGCTCCCAGTTAAGAACAAAATACTGTGAACAACAAGGAAAAAAACAAAAATAAATTAAATATGGAGCTACAATAAGTGTTACCCAAGATTTAGCAGCTGCTACATTCTAGGACTGTAGGTCTTGGAATACTGTTTCATAGAGCAAAAGAGCTGGGGTTACAACCAAGGGTAACGTAGCAAGCAAAGTTAAGTATAATCGAGTGAAAAAAAATGGACACTTAAACTGAAAGAGTTTCAGGTATTTGTGACAAAAACATTAGAACTTAAGGAGAAATTCAACATATAAGATCCAGGATAAATATAAGGTAAACATTAGAGACTAATTATAAGAGACTCAGTGAGGTCAAATTGTTTACTTTGTATATGTGAAAATGTTATCAGTACTCTTATGGCTTTCATCATTATTTGGGCACTTTGAAAGAAAGGCTCAGGCTGAGCTGTGTATGAGGGGGTGAGTCTAAAAAGAAACATGTAGGATACAAATTAAAACAACTCTGAGGTACTGCATCACACCTATCAGATCTGCTAACATCACAAAATAGGAAAATGATAAATGTTGGTGAAGATGTGGGAAACTTGGAACACTAATACATTGTTGGTGGAGTTGTGAACTGATTCAACCATTCTGGAGAGCAATTTGGAACTGTATCCAAAGGGCTATAAAACTGCGTACCCTTTGACTCAGTAATACCAGTTTTAGGTCTGTATCCCAAAGAGATTGTAAAAACGGGAAAATGACCCACATGTACAAAAATATTTATAGCAGCTCCTTTTGTGGTGGCAAAGAATTGGAAATTGAGGAGATGCCCACCCACTGGGGCGTGGCTGAACAAGTTGTGGTATATGAATGTAGTGGAATACTATTGTGCTGTAAGAAAGGATGAGCAGGCAGACTTTAGAAAAACCTGGAAAGACTTATATGGTCTGATGCTGAGTGAAGTAAGCAGAACCAGGAGAACATTGTACAGAGTAACAGCCACATTGTGTGATGACTAACTTTGATAGACTTAGCCCTTCTCAGCAATGCAAGCCTCTAAGAACATCTCCAAAAGTCTTATGGTGGAATATGCTATCCATGCACAGAGAAAACTATGGAGTCAATGCAGATGGAAGCATACTATTTACTCTCCTTTTGTTGTTTTGTTTTGTTTCTTCTTTCTTGTGGTTCCTCCCATTAGTTCTAATTCTTTACATCATGACTAATGTAAAGATATATTTAGTTTGAATGTGTAAGTAGAGCTCATATCAGATTGCACGCTGCCTTGGGGAGGGGAGAAGAGGGGGAGGGGGAGAAAATTTAAATCAAAATCTTATGAAAGTGAATGTTGAAAACTCAAATTAAATTAATTTTAAAAAATTAAAGGAAGAGATAAAATGGAGTAATTATCTCATACAAATGAGAAATAAAAGGAAGAATTCATACAGAAGAAGCTAGTAGAGGGAGGGGGAGTAGTACTTGAACCTTAATCCCATTGGGAATGGGTGAAAGAGGGAACAACATATCTATATCTATATCTATATCTATCGATCTATCTATCGATCGATCTATTGATCTATCATCTATCTATCTATCGATCGATCGATCTATCTAGAAGAGTATAAATGTCTTCTAAATGCAGAAAGAAATAAGAGGGCAAAGGAAGAGGGGTGAAAGGAGAGAATAAGGGAGGGACTCTTGGAGGGGTACAGAGGGTGAGGAATAGAAGGGCAGGTAGCAGGTAGAAGTAAAGCAGAGGAGTGAGGAGGGATAGGGTAAATAGGGTGAGAAAGATAGTGAGGAAAAATAGAGAGGAAAATACAGAAGAAATTGTAGATTAGAATATGAATGGGATGAATTTACCCATAAAATGGAAATGGGTAGCAGATTAAAAATTTGAATTCAATCATATGTTGCTTTGAGGAAACAATATAAAAATGTGAGACACAAAGATAAAATAAAGGGCCAGAGTAATATTTATTGTGTAAAAAAAGCAGAGGTAGTAATCATGATCTTAGGCAAAGTTAAAGCTAAAATAGATTTTATCAAAGAGAAAAATAGGGAAACTAAATAGTGTTTCAGCAATATTGTTTAATATTGTTTTAGACCATTTAAAATTATTAGACAGTATAAAATGCCTGAGAGACAGACACAGGAACTGTATGAACATAAACATAAAACACTTTATACAAATAAAGTTCAGATCTAGTTAGAGTAATATTTATTGTTTATGGGTAGGTAAAGCCAACATAATAAAAAAATGACAATTTAATCTATTCAATGCCATCCCAATTAAATTACAAAAAAAATATATCTGAGTTAGAAAAAGTAATAACAAAATTCATTTGGAGCGACAAAAGGTCAGGAATTTCAAGGAAACCAAGGAAAAAAGACATAAAGGAAGCAGATTCAGCAGTATCCGACCTTAGACATATTATAAGGTGAGAGAACATATGTTCATGTATGAAATGGATAATTTCAATTATTTTATATTAAGATTTTCTTGTATAAATAAAACCTATGTAGCCAGGAATAGAGGGAGTGCAGAAAGTTGGGAAAGAACTTTCATAGACAGTCTCTCAGACACGGAACTGGAATACTGCTGTGGTGCAGGAAATGATGACCTGGTGGATTTAGAAGAACATGGAAAGATTTGGAGCTATGAAGGAAGATGCTGTCCACCTTCAGGGAAAGGCCCATAGGAGGAAATAAGCATGGTACAGTCTTACCTATATGTGTATATTTGTAGACGTCTGTGCACATGCACCTTTCTCCATCCGTGTTTAATTGTAGCCTTCTTTAAGTGGGGGGGGGGGAGAAAAAGTAAAGTAAAAAGTGCACAGCAGAGAACAAAGGAAACCACACCAGGAAGCAGGAAAAAGCTGGGCAGCCTTGAAAACAATGGCCAGTATTTATTCTACAGGTTTTCTTGAAATGGGAACTGACTGTTTCATATTGAATCCTCTCTTTATGCTCTGTTGTGTACATGCCAATGTTCTTTTTCTTCTTTTCTCATTTTTATTTAAGCTTAAAATGAATTTAAAAAATTATTTTAAAAAGTAAAAAAAAAAAAAGAAAAGGGGATGTTTTCAGAGGACTAAGTGCTCTGGGAGGTTCTCAGTGAGCCTCGATGTCCCAGGGGCCTCCCCAAGGCGTCTGGGGTCAGATAAAAGGTCATTGGGGAGCACTGAACACAATACAATCCTGCACAACAGAGATCACGTGCATTGGAGGCTCTTTTCCAGTTGAGCGGGAGGGGAGCCGACCTGGGACCATTGTCTTAACTCAACGACATGAGGCAATTGGCCAAAGTCTGGCAGGGGGCTCCCTCCCCTCCCCAAATGCAGACCCTGTTCCTGGGTCAGTTCTCAAAAACCCTTAGTTTAAGGAACGTGGAGTCATTCTTGCATTCAAGTGACTGCTTCCAGCATTGATTGATATCTGAACTTCTGGACCCTAGAATCTGCATTTATCCAGCTTGGATTCCTCATTACCCATGACCATTTTTACTGGTTCTGACCCATTTGGACCTCTGGAAAGCATAGCATTTAAAATTCTCCCCTCACACATCCCCAGCCTTGACTCTAGGTGACACTTAAGTTTCAGTCCCTGTGCTCTGGAGCATGTGAAACAGGAAAGCCTTCGCCTCCCTGGTTGTGGCTCACACTCCACCAGGACGCTCTCTCTCAAAGGTGGGATTCCAGCAGAGTTCAGGAGGATGGTGCAGCCTCCAGAACCGTACTTTACTACTGTTTCAAAAGGAGAGAAGGAAGAAGACACTTCCTCCTAAAAAGGGGGACTGGAAGAATGAGCTCTCCCACCCGGCAGCTTCCTACCTGTGAAGGAAATGCCCTAGAGGTTCGTGGAATGATGGGGAGCAGCGCCAGCTCTGTTTAGTCTGACAGATCCCTTGCCTTTTTAGGATGATGGAATCTTATTGGTTAAAGTGCCCCAAGCCAGTCCATTTGAGGCTGTCCTCTTCCAGGGCCTGACACCGATCTCTGTCTTCCACACGTGCTCCACAAACCTTTCTGTGAGCCCCCAAAGAGAAGACCAGTGTATTCTTTCCCCTCAGAGAAATCCCTCCAGCCTGAAGAATTTACCTCTTCCAGGTAAAGTAGGGTATGAATTATGCTCAAGAGAAGCACTGTAACAGAAATAATAAATATGAATAGCTCGCCGTAAGAGTTTAATACGAACATTCAAAATACGTATCTGTGATTTCTGATTAAATCTTT